ACCCAACTGGCTACTCCTACAAATTTCTATTTATATTCTTGATATCCGTGCCATAACGGATGCATACAACCCTTCAGTCTCCAGGGAAGTTATACTTGTGGAATTACTTCAGATTTAGTAGCAAGTTTCCATAGACATATAAACTCATCCAGTTCACGTCTCCCAGTGGCTTTTGCTGTTGAGCAGTAAGAATAAAAATCAATGAATTATGCAGGATGGTTTCTCAGTGCTAAATTTGTTCATACTTGGTCTTTAATTTGAAGTGCTAGGCAAAAGTTCACCTTCTTTTGCTAATTGATTTTTATCATGAATGTGAGTAAAAGTACTTGGCAAAAAGGGTAAAACATCTTGTCAAAAAAAAAAAAAAGGTAGCATAAACCAAGGCAGCGTCAATTCATCTTATCTTATTTTTTTAGTACCTATTAGCTTACCTATGGGGACTGTATTTAGGAATTGTGTTCAGAATCTGCACCAATTACATCTTGGCTTCTTTCTCTCAGAGCATGCCAATGTAAGATTTTAAACGTAATAGATTTGCAAACTGGGATCTTCATTTTAGAAGATGTGATAAATTAGGCACTTATCCTTCTTACTTGCTAAAATATTAGCTACTTTTCAAGGAAAGGAAAAATGAGGAAGAAAGCAGTGGAGAAGGAACAAGCAGCCTTTCCCTATGCCTTTTTATAATTTTTTGATTGTGATGTTTCACAGAATGTATAATGTAATTTAAATGTACTAGCATTCCCTTGAGTGCAGCTTTGCACAAGAATAAGGGCAATGTCTATGCACCACTTACATCTCACCACAGCCATATTTAGTTTGCGCTGGGCTTTCAGAAATAATTTTTGCCAGTGAGGCTGTTTCTGTAGGACATTAAGAACACTAAGGTAGCTCTTAATTACAGCCCCTTTTTCTCAACTCCAAAGCAGTCTTTCTTTTGTTCTATCACCTTCCACTGCTCTTCTCTTAACCTCTGCACGTTTCCAAACTCCAGTAATTAGAATGACATTGTAAACCACAATTTTACCTCCCCTGATGCCCTACTTACCCTCAACGGAAAAACATAATCAAGAAACTTAATTATAATCAAGTTCTGAATCATTTTATACATAAAAAGCAGGCTCCAGTACCATAAAAATACGCATATAAGCTGTACAAACAGAAGTTTGCCTTAGTGTCTTAGGCATGCTTTTACTGACGCACATAGAGATGCATTTGAGATCACTTCTCATGCCTATGCAGTATGATATGGCTATACAGTGTCATCCTGAAATAATAACACGCAGTTGTACTTGGACCTGACAAACTTCCCTTGCTGAGCCTTCAACACACTACTGTCTTTCACTGTAGATTCCTTCAACAACTCAGATCTCATACACTTGTACAGGATTCCACTGTGGTGTCCCTTGGCCTTAAGTGTTCCCACAAGCCAGAGAAGGCTACAGAGCAGAGCTGTGAGGACCAAGGACCGTGAATGAAACCCATGACACTATACTACTGCCACATGCATGGCATCAAGTGGGACTACATCCAAAGGAGCACCACTAAAACACATGCTTCCCATCTGTAAACCCACAAAACAGTATCTACTGTATGACATGATTCACTGCATATGACCGCTCATCAGTCACACATCCATGTGATGGGCATTGGGTGAGACAATGGTTATGCCGTGCATGAGAAAAAGGATACTTCAGAGGTGTGCACACACTCACTGAAACACCTGTAAACCCACACATAGACTGAGATCCTAATTTACTGTGCACTACCCAAACACACTCTGTCAAACTATCCTGGCAGAGTATTTATGAGGGATACAGCTCTTCAATATAGCATTTTAATTTTCTTTTTAATCTCAGTCTTCTGTTTCACAGTACGACATCATGAACAGGTTTACTGGCACAACTGGAGAGCAGCAGAATCACATCAAGGCAACAAGAATAAGAAGCTGAAGGTAGAAATATCTTAAGCTGAGTAAACAAGTCAAAGAAGCACAGAGTACAGCGATTTGAACTCTTTGGACTTAAAAATGTCCCATTTTAGTATTCAAATTTGATATAAACTTAAGTGACTTCATAAAATAAATAAAAGAAAATGTTTTTGTTGCTCACAGTTTCACTGCTTTCCAGTAATGTTTACTGTGAATATTTAAAATTAATTAGAAAAGAAACGATATTTTTAACCTTTTTTTTGACAGTACCATACACAAATAGAACAAAATGTAAAGCTGAAAGAATATCTTCTAGAAAAATATCAAAAATCCTTTTTCCATCCAAGAAAAACTGACAAAGCCGAACTATTTTTTAGGTAATGGGTAATATAACCAGATTCTTTAGGACTTTACAAAATAAAAATCTAATGTATAACACTCTTAAACCCCTAAAAAAAGATCTGATTTCCTATACAGTGAAAGTTTTATTCTTGGACACCTAAAATATGGAAAGCTGTGTGAAATATTTATTTGTACTTTCCATCTTTCATAACTACTTCAGGATAAATTTACCTCAAGTACTTAGCAACTCTAAAGAGACCGTAACTGGTAACTCCTTAACGAATCAACTATATACCAATCCAAAAGATCAGGAAGAAAAATGTAGCACTTTTCTGAAAATTCTCTTGCATTCCAAGTTATTTAAGTTACACTTGCTTAATATCATTTGTATGCCTCCATAGACCTAGACCAAAGTACAGAGCACCTTGAATGAAGTCACCCAGCTTTAGTGTCCTGTTCTGCTGTCAGACAAGGACTGGCTATTCACTGTGTGTCAAGAAGCCCAAAATCTATGTAGATGGTATGACATGACCCACAGAGAGTGGGCACTAATGAAGACAAAGAGAAAAATACATCAAATTTAGGAACTGGACTAGATCTTCAGTGTGCTTCCTCTATAGGGTGATGGTGGAGATGACAAAGCAAAGGAGGCATTTTGCAGGCACATTACAGTAATAACACATTGATTTGCCCACTGGGTCAAAGATGGCTTTGCATTCCCCCCAAAAAAGTTTTGTGAGCATGGAGCTTGGAAGCAAATCTTACTTAGCCACTGTTAAGAGCCATACGTTAACTGACTTTCAGCATACGTGCAATAAGGAAATAAACTCTCTTTTATCACCAATCCTTGGTTCACCTTGAAGAGCTTGTATGAGAACTAGACTCAGCAACAGGACTACATTCAGGTGGGCTATATAACTACGTAGGAAAGTTGCAGAGAAGGTGCAGAGTTAAGTCTCTTCGGCAAAAACCCTCTGGTACCCTCCTTTCTGAAGAACGAGAACACACACAACCCCAATTCAACAAAGCACTAAACCTTGTTGTAATAAACCCCTAAAAGGTCACACTGGGGAAAAACAGGGAATTAATATTTGAAATCCATCCTTCAATCTGCCATACTAAGTCATGTTCACAACTAAGCCTTCACAACTAAGATGTGAAGGCTAATGAGACCATAAAGCATAATAATAACATAATAACAACAGTAAGGTAATGCCCTTGGCTTCCTTCCAGACCATTCTGCCTTCTCTTCAAGTCAGCTCAATTTAATCAGCTTCAGTCCAGAAGAAAATATCCTTAGAAGTATCAAACTTGATCTCAAATAATGAGCCCTGCTAGGAGGTGAAGCATATCATTTTGCACAGAGCTGCAACAACACAGATCAAAGCTGATTTGGTTGGGCCTGTTTGGAGAATGAAGGAGCTGCAGCCTACCGAGACACCAAGCTGTCCCACAGCACTGAAACACCGAGCTGTCCCACTGATGTGAAGATACTGAGCCATTCCATCAACATGGAGACAGTGAGCCAACCCATCAACACCAAGACACTGAGCCACCATGAACCACCTCCTGCTCTAGAAAGGGATTGGGTTGGGAAGCCTCTTTGGGCAAGGACAGTTTTGGACTGCTTGCAGCCAGTTGTTTCTTGAAGCTTTGGGATTAACTGCAGCTTTTACAATGGGGGTTAAGGACTACTCTCTTCAGAAAACCTGACACAGAAGTTGTTAATTCTCCAGTCTTCAGAAGCTTTCAAAGATTTTCAGCAAACCACAATCCAAACACAAGTTGAAATGGCCATAAACATAGAAGCAAAGATTACTGTATCACTTAATTATATCCTGCTCTGAGATAAAGTGCAGTAACCTCATCTTATTTTTAAACAGACTGGCTATTGTTTTCTTGCTTGACTGGCACTAAAGGAAAATACATTTCACGGTGTGGCCTAAAGACAAATCCTATTCAGCACAGTTAAATATTCATTGTTTTCATCTACATGTAACAGACAAAATGCCAGATCTTAAGGCACAGCAATAAAGGTGGAAAGGTCTAAAGTGCTGACTCCTTTTGTATCTTGCAATGTGAAAAAATATATTTTCCTACATTATCTTCTGGCAACACCAAACACACACAGGGACATTTCCACGTCATTGTACTAACTGTGGGCTACATGTCACATAAAGATTGATCTTGCAATAATTTCCAGTGTGAGAATTTTCAACGTGCACACAGAAAAACCCAACTGCAGTTAAGATTTTCTTCTAAATAACTCAGGTTTCTAGCATAGAGTTCTAATTATCCCTGGAGCCATTTTTGAAGTGTAAAAGAAAGGAGTAAAAGTGTTTAATTTCCAAGATTGTAAAGAAATGTTTCTTTATGGGGAAGAAACATGAAAAATATTGTAGGAAAAATACTTTTTACATCATTTCTTTAACATTAATATGTTTACCCAGATTTTTAACTAGCAAGGAAGACTGAAGGCAGACATCATATAATATCTGAGCCAGCTTATTTAGCTCCTGTTGTGTAAACTACCAGAACTGGCACCATCAGCGTATCTCCCAAGGAGCTGGCAACAGGCTGACTTGCAATTCTAGAAAATCAGAATGCCAAGCTGAGTTCCTTAAATCTCAGAAATGTCTTGCTTACTTAAAGCTCCACTCCCTGACCTTTTCTTTGGGGTTTTTCACTTGGGTTGGGTCACAGGTCTTAAGAGTCCTAGATGACTGACCTCTTCTAGTTGGCAGGCTTTGATGACACTCTTGTATCGATATTCATCATAGGATACACCAAAAATAATGTTTTCTTTTATGGTTCCAGGCATGATCCAAGAGACTTGAGGTGAAAAGGATATCCTTCCACTGTGTTTAATTTTACCCTGCGAAGGCTCCAATTCTCCCATTATCAACATCAGAAGAGAAGTCTGAAAAACCATTAACACTTGGTTAATATATCAGAGATCTGTACAACCATAGGAAATGCTAAACAAAATGAGAGTCACTCTGCTAAGTCATTTAAATGGTACAGTTGTCTTGGAAAAAGTGTCCCTATAAGTACTGATCTAGTGCAAGTTGCAATTAATGGAGATTTTCATGATATGTATGGTTCAGAAAGGGCTCTGAAGTAAAAGAAACTTCATTCAATGAATAATAAAAATTTTGTAAGATATCTTGTAAAAAATGCATGCTGCTTCAAACGTATTTTTAATTAAACTTCCAGTAATTTTACAAGGTAAAAACGTGAGTATCTGTGAGACACTTACAGACATGAGGTATTAGTATTTATGGATAATGTTACTTGGTTTTTAACATTATCAGTAACTTATTTTGTTTGTTCTTTGTATAACACCTTCCGTATTTACAATTTTTTCCAGTGTTCATAAGCCCTTTATCTGTATTGCCTTGAAAAATAGAATTTATTTGTGTATGTATATACAATTACTTGAAAACTGCTCGGTGTGATCTGAATTTTCCTCTGTAACTGTTATCTCATTTACGTGAATACATGACTAAGTATATTTACTATTTCCTTTCATAAAAGAATTGATTGCAACTTCAGTACTGACATGTTATAATTTCAAAGTTAATCAGTAGCTTGTAGTAACCTTGTCACACATCACTAGCTACTAGATCAAAGAACAGAATTGAGACATACAAGGAAAAAATGTTACAGAGCCATTCTAGTGGTGTTCTTATCACTAGTAAACAGCCAACAAAGCTGAGACGAACAGCCAAAGATCTAAAAACCTGTCTAAGTCACCATTTCATGCTGTCAAGCCCAGAGATCCTTTGACAAAGTTATACAGTATGTGGGGGGGAGTCTCACAAGAGTCTTTCCATTATACCAGATATTCTTTCCATTTCCAAAGTGCTGAGTAAGAAGTTTCTTAGACTCAGAAGACAGTCGCTTAGTATGTTTTGTGCACTGGATGTTAAAATACTGTATCTTATGCCATACAACATAAATGGAAAAAAAACAAACACAAAACAAACCCAACTCTGTCTAATATTGAAGCAGTATTCAAGAGCTGATGTCAGGCTATGTACCTGTTATACATTGAATAAGTGTGCCTTGCAATTCCTGGAATATATAGTAACAGCCTCAAGCAACATGAAGACAACCTTAAATTAAGAGGCTGTAAGGGAAGGAGAATTTTTTATTCGGGGGGTGGTGTAAACATTAGTTTTTGTAAATCTTTCCGTTAATACTAAAGCCTTTTATCTTCATTGCCATAAAAAGTGCTAATCTGTGGTATGTATATACTCTTATAAACTGCTCAGTGTGATCTGAATTTTCCTCAATTTCCTCAGTAGTTGAATAAAGGAGATATACAGATATCCTTCATCCCTTTCTAGTTGACATTTTTGTATTATAAGTATCAGCTTTAGCAATAGTCATCAGAGATTATCAGCAACACAGGAAAACTATTCTGTTAACTCAGAAGCGTCACAGTAAAATGAACCTCAATATATCAGCTTGAGGACAATCTCAACCTCACTCTTT